AGCAGAAAGACAGATGGATAAGTAAATAAACGCCTGAATGGATCTAAAAGCGTGACTGAAGACTAATAGGGAACAGATCTTTTAACCAAAGATGTCGAGGGAAGGGTGAGACTTCAAAGACCACATCGAGGACATGGCACGGAGCAGCTAAATGCAGATTTCCAACAGAGGGGCTCGCAGGACAGGCGCGGCTGGGGACCAGCAGAGCTGCGCGGGGCAGAGGGGTTCTGGCACCATCCCACCCTCCCGGGGAGGAGGAGGATGGCACAGCTGGCAGGGTGCTCCTAGCTACCGAGATATTCTGAGGTGCTGAAGCACCACTTTGATACCAAGCAGAGACCTTGAAGAATTTCACTTTCAAGCATTGGCATTTTGCACACGTGGTAAAAAAATATGCAGGTTTTGTGGGCAGTTTACATGCAGAGCGGGCGGCGGGGACCAAGCGAACACCAAAGCCCTGGTCCCTGCTCCAAACACGTTTGCAGCTCAAGGGGTTTCCACATCCTGCCAGCGAAAGCAAGGTGGGGCGCACGGGAGGGGTGTCTGGAGCAGACTGCCACGGAACGGCTTCGCTGCTCCTGGGCACCCCGGCGAGAGCTCCCCGCACCCGGCCGGTGGCACAGGGAGCCCAGCTCACTGCCAGGATGGGAGCCCTGTTTTTTTTCCCCAGAGGCGTCGAGAGTATTTCTTGTTCAGACACTGCTCTTTGATGCAGGGCCGAGCTCTTAGCCCATATTGATGGGTCAGGGGTATTTTTATTTGGCGTCAGCATTGTTTCATCAGCTAATAGAGCTTGTTGATTTTGGCATGGGTACATGAAAGGAAAAGGCTTTATTTATTCATTACACCTTCAGCCAGATTTGATGGTTAGTTTAATTCTTAGCTAAACTTTTCTGAATGACGTGTGGTTATTAGCCTTGTACTAAAGAACTGTTTCTCTTAGTAGACCGGGTACTAAAATTAGAAAAAGCAGACGAACTTTTAGGCACAGAAACCCTTTTCCCCACCTGCTTAGCCCATCTCGTACAACTCTACCCAACCGTATCTTCATACCCCTGTTTAGGCGCAAACAAAGGATTGTGGATTTGGGGATGATTAAAACTAAAGTCAAAGTTTTTAAAGTAAGAAGGAAAATGGAATTGCTTCAGAAATGCTCTTCGAAAAATATTTTTAAAGATGCAGCGTGATCTGGTGGTTAAAGGATGGATTCATCCTTTCAGGTACCCCGAGCAGAGGCAAACCGTGCAGCCCATCAAGGTGCCCGTGCTGCCCCTGCCCCTTGCTTCAGGCAGGAGAACCAGAGGGGGGCAAAGCACGGGGGGGTCCTCAGCCCTGCAGGCGCCCCAGGGTTCAAGGGCAGCCTTTGGGCTGAGAGGAGCCCGTGTACAAGTCAAATGGAAAATCCTTTCCAAGAAAAGTGGATGTTCTTCCTCCTCCTTGAATAACTCAGCACTACCTGCTGTTGGTTGCCAAGCCGTCCTTGGCCTTAGCAGAGGGCTGGGAGTCAGAGCTCCCCTTTGCCCTTCCTTATGGGACCTATTATCCCCTATTAGCATTGAGGACAATTAATTTGCCATTACGACAAAATTCAGCAGCACA